CTACTACCACTATTACGACTACTACTACCACTATTACGACTACTACTACTACCACTACTACTACTACTACTACTACTACTACTACTACTACTACTACTACTTCTACTACTACACTACTACTACTACTACTACTACTACTACTACTACTACTACTACTACTACTACTAATACTACTACTACTGCTACTACTACTACTACTACTACTACTACTATTACTACTACTATTTCTACTACTATTTCTACTACTACTACTACTGCTAATACTACTACTACTTTTGCTACGAATACTACTACCAATATTACTACTACAACTACTACTATGAACACTACTACTTCTATTAAGATCACCAAGAGGGTTTTTACATTTGTTTATATTTCAAACTTAATTTTCCCATTTACGTGTGGTCCATGTTCTGGTTTTCCAGATGACAAAGGAGGCATTGCTGGGCAATCTGTGTGATGTTGTATGTAACCAACAGAGGTAAGCCCTGTGTTTTAGGATGATTGTTGATATGCATCATTACCTGGAAGTATATCATAAATCGCTAATCATCGTCAGAAGAAAGGATAGACGGAAACGTTTTTTTCCGGAAACAATAGGAAATGTCCTACTGTTTACACTGTTTGGATAGCATTTCTTGAGTAATCTGATCTTTAACAGGAATTCTCTCACGGTATCTTATTCAACCATAGAATTGTCCTGTTATGGTAGATCTTGTTAAAAATGAAATGACAAGCATCATACCTACAGAACAATATATAATGTTTGCTTGCAAAACTCTCATTAGTACCGACAATACGTGCTGAGACATAATATTTAAAATGCTTAAAGTCTTATTCCAATGATAACTTGATTTAAACGAACCAAAAATGTTCTGTATCGACAGTATTATTCCTCAAGTAGAACTGCAATTTCTACAATGATTATGAAACCATAATACTGATACCAGCATAGTCACACTTCTTTCTCGTTTTATTATGTAATGTTGTTATACATGAGAATATTGTCTGGTAAAGATACAAAGTTACTGAAGCTATGCCAAATTTCCAACCAATTGTACATATGTCAAATGTTGAAAGGTGACTGACATTATTCTAATGTATTTTGGAATCTTTAAATAATGCAAATCGACACACAAATGTCGAATGATGCATAAGTCTCTATGTTACTTAGTTATGAGATGGATGTGGTTTCCTATAAAATTAAAACTACTCTGAAGCTTATTGTAACCCGTGAATGTTTTAATTTATATAAAGAGTAAATTTCCATCAGTATTTTGAATTACGACATCTTGTTTTCAATCATGATTTCTTAAAACATATGTGATAATATTAACGAAGAAATAAAATGAAACGAAGGGAATCAATCCAATTGAATAGAGAGTTGTTTTGGAGGTGCTTGGTAATGATATTGTCTATACCTAGGTAATTGGTATATCTGTGGTGTGTCGTCGCGAGGGCTGGTCCCGACCCCACAGATTTTAATGCTAATGTACTTATAATTTGCTCTAATCAAATCAATATGCAACCGTTTAACAATCATAGATTGACGACCTCCAAGTTTTATGGTAATAAGTACATTCGATTAAATTTGACTGGATACGATACGTACATATGGCTAATATTTATATTGAATGGAGACAGATATGTTTCATTAGTCGTGAAAGAAGTCGTACTTAATTCGTGTCAGAATATTTACACAAATCTCTTTATTTTGGTTGCAAATAAGCTTGGTGCTTGTTTAAGAGAATTAATTCATGTATTCATTCGTTCGTTCGTTCGTTCGTTCCCATATCAAACGTTAAAAATTAGTGTTTACTTTAAAAATCACAATATTTGATTGGAATAATAACCCGACGAAGTACTTGTCTCTTTTAAGGCAGTAAGCGCCTAAAGAATAGACATTGTAGATAAAATAGCAAAAGAGCAAAAACTACTAAATATATTTGCTCGCTTTCCCCATTACAATAGTCATAGATCGCCAATGTAATTATGAGACTGTAATTGCAACTGGTCCTGCTGTTGTCAGCCATTCCATGTTTCAGCTTATCCTATTATTGAAACAACGAAAACAATACCAACATGATAACAAACTCTTACTTCAAACACAAATTTGATGAAACTATGGCAACAAAAGAAAAATTAATTACAAGGGAACTCCTTGAAAAGAAAACAAAGAAGATATAAACCAGGTGTTCCGGAAGGGTAAGCGTCTTCTGTCTCATCGACGACACCCGCCATGTAAATCTTAATCAATCTTAGTAAGTAATATCACTAAATGTACTGACTAGCAGCACACACTTCCAGTTTCATATCGCACACTTAAAACGAAACGGATATAATAGAAAATTAAATTATATATCAAGATATTCTTTTAAACGATACATAAAAATATAAACAAATCAAAACTTATTATTTATTTGTAGCACAAAATGCACGAAAGCAAGCAAATATATGGGACCAATTATATTTTTATACGGCTCCTGTAGGCCTTCGTTGTTAGCACGGAAAAACTAACCACGGAAAAACATAGCTTTAAGATGAAGCGATATATCCACATGATATTCAGAATTCAGCAACCCACGTGCAAGTAGTCCAAAATTTTCTCCCAACCAAGAGGGAATGAACATCACACACGTATGACATCGCTATGTGGAGGGCATTCTTCACCATTCTGAGTCAGCAACAGTTAGTCATGCCACACAGCTGAGACGCCGGATGAAATTATGTTTGAAGGAAAGTGGAAATGGGAGGAACTACAGAAACATTCTACATTTTAGATATCAATTAGTTCGACAAGTGTTTCCGTCAAGCTGTATCTATTGAGTTGACAGATATGTGACTAAAGACCACACCTGTCATATGGAGGTGATATTCGTCACTATTTCCGAGACAAAGTCAATCAACATCATAGTTATTACCACAAGGACAAATAGTTTTAAAAATGTATTTACATTTGACTATTTCTAATAAAATGGTTAGGGTAGTTGTTTTGGTGTTATTGTACATAATTAAGGGTATAATGGCTATCTAGATGATTTATTACACATCACCACTTTCGAGATCTTATCAATAGAAAGTTGTATGTTTACCTATGTTATGATATGATAAAACTACTTTCGACCTATAACATTGTTTTCGTGAATTATTTGAAGATATCATATAAATAGACCATTACCTGAATTTGACCTTGACGCCACAATGCAGGTCACAAAGGATAGGTGTACTGGGAACACTTTACAGAAGCAGGTGCTCGTTTCTGCACCCTTCATTTTATGTCTATATAAATCATTAGATTCTGTTTCTTATCTGGTCATACATACCGAATCTATAAAAAACATATAAAAAACAAGGTTATATCCCATTTGTTATCTTTATTATTATACTCAGTATAATAACTTTACAATCGTTTTAGTTATGTTATTTATGTGGCGACGAAATACTCCTACCATATACGTGTTGTGTAAGGCATGATGTTATCTCTTTTTTTCTTTTAAAATGTTTTCTAAATTTATCAAAGTGTTTTTAACGAGTAAATATTCATGAAAAATTCACCGTTCTCTTGAGGATGAAATAGAGTACGTGCTCTATACTGTCTTTGTAAAGTATTATCAGATATTGATGTGCTCTTCTGTAGACTAGTTCTCCTTGTACAGCTGTACATGCCTACATGCACGTATAACAACACATGTTCTATACCTCCTGTAAAGAATCACAAAGGACGTCTGTGCTGCTCACATCCATGTTCGTATCTTCCACCTCCATAGTTTCTGTACCGATGAACAAGTTTCAAAATTATAAACAGACATGCATTCCAGTTGCATGAAAATCGTTTTAAACTCCTCCCGTCATGTTTGAGATTTTCAATGTGCACGTTTCAAACTTCATCACCATTGAAGATTGTTGATCTTGCAAGCGTTTAAAGTCATGCAGCTTCCTGTTGCCGCTGCTTGTCATGAGACTGGTTTATATCTGGTATATTGACATCACGTGCTGTCTAGATGAGTTATCATGATCTGTCCTGGTATTTATTTCGTAACAAAGAGAGGTCGATTAAGGATTAAAACCATAACAAACAGCGATCCCCTGATTAACGATATGTGATATTTTATTGTAATGTTAACAAGTATCGGTAAAAATTAGAATAAACTGCTCTTCACACACCTCCAAAAAGCAAGCCATAAAGACATAGTCGGTACAGAATATCATATGTACACAATTATTTTATCATTATTTTTTGTAGCACAATAATTTGTTGGAAGTATTAAAGTATATTTTCATGTTTGTTTTAATATACAAAAGAATGTAACTGTTGGTTTGTCGGCAAAGGTCTGTAGACGTCTATATATACATTAGCTTACTCTCATACTGACAAAAGTTAAAAGGGACCCCGAGTGCTTTCATCCATGCTGAGGTACATAAAAATGTTATGTATGCATACGTTACGTAAATACCTTGTAAACTTTCGTCTGTGAATGTTACATCGCCACAGGTTTCTACCAGTCCTGTCGTCTCTGTCCTGACGCTGATATATCTTACCACTACAGAGGTTATACTCCAGCCTCAACACATTTCTCTTTTCTGCACATTTTTCTTAATCTATGTATGTGAAAATATGATGTGTTGGTCGATGACTATAATAAACCACCATGTTACATATCAATTAACCATGTATCTATTTTATCATACTAATTCCTGTTCATATTCCCGTTGTATTAGAACAAGATTAGAATAACCGCAGCATATTTCATCTTCTTCATACAGCGCATTGTTCTTACGTTGAATTCTCTTTGTCGATTTGATAATTCAATTCTTGCGCTTATTATCCCTTCTTTTAAAAAGCGTTTATTTGGTCATAAAGATCAAATTATTCTGTGTACGTATTGGTTTGCGTTCATTGATATTAAATTTGCCATGGTATGAACAATGGAATATCGCTGCGATTCTCACTGCATGATCACGTATCGTGGTCTTATTTCTGATATAGAAATCAAAAGAAATTTTAGCTTACAGTTTCATTTATTAGACAAGTTATACACATCAGTAATAAATAAATCCAAATAAAGCATGAAAAACACGTGCGTAATCAATATATACATACACAGTGGTTGTTAAGGAACCCGCTCGACATTTAAATGTCAGTTTACTTATTCTTTGTTCTACAATAGTTCATGGCAATACTGCTACTCATGAACGTGACACTTTCATGACATGATAATGTTTTGATTGTGAGAGACAATAATAACATAGGTAACACTAAAAATTCTTTACTTCATTGTTACAATGATTACGTCACACATTGTTTACATACATATATACATCAACACCGGGGTATGACAGTGGTACTAGAGTGCTATTGTCCACATGTTCTCTTGCGTTCAGAATTAATATCCTTACATTTAAGGAGTGATGACGGCTGTTAACTTATGCACGTCTAATTATAGGTGTGAAATGGTCGAAAAAGGGAAATTAAGTGGTAAGTTGTTTTAAGGCTTCCTGCTGCACTCATTGCCCTATATCTCTGTAAAGGTTTGGCTTAAATACTTGTATTTGCGGTTTACCAAAATATCATTAAGTCTTGAAAAAGGCTTGATTTCTTCAAAAATCTAGTACTTGACCAAAAATATATTCAGAAAAAGCTTTGCATGATGTCACTGTGTTATAAATTACCAGGAAAGAAACATTCTGACGACATATGCCAGGTTTTATTATCCCATTCTAGGACGCAGATATAACAATGTCATCTTATATATGATCATAAAGTATTTATAAAAAAAATATCTTGCAATGCTATATCTATATACTCGAAGGGTCACTAGCTCCTTACATTTCGGTGACAATGTAACTTCGTCCAACACATATAAAACAAACGCAGCTTCGAGGAGATGGTGTCTAATAGACTATATACAACATATACAATTTCAGTTAGTTCCCAGTTTTGGTCATAAATAATGAATTTTGAATTGAATTAAACTGAACTTACAAAACACCCCAAATAAAACTTGTCATGTTGATTAATAGAAATACAATACATGACGATCTGAAACTATTGAGGAAACATATATGAGAAAATTAGTTAGATCTTTATATCTTGATATGATATTTGCTTTAGTTGGTGAGTATGCTATTCCTCGCGCCATACACAGTCAATGGGTTACGTAATGATATGGACAGGTCATATAACCTAGTGTCATGGTTGGTAATACTGCACACAAAATACAATACTAGTTTCATATGAATTGTGAAAATATATTGTTGATATATAGATCACAGCATGTTTGCTTAAAATATTCAACGAGTAAATATTGCAATATTTGCAAAAATATATCTTAATTTGCATTAGAACCACAACTTTACATACTGTACATACTGTTTCACATTCACGTCATCTTTTATCACAGAAATATCAATAAAACACACTCACACAAAAGCAATACACATGACAACTCATCATACTAACTAATGGATTTCAATGGTAACCTCTCGTGCTGACGTCTCGTGGCTAGGTGTGGGTGTTTTTACCCGCCACAGCCTCCACACGGATGCCATTGGTGTGTACTCCACGTGGATGATTCACACTAAATATCAGCTCTATATCTGATGTAAGTAATGCTGTTGGGTTCTATGTTGGAAATAAGTTCCATACAATACAGCTGACATACACAAAATATGAAAGACATTTGGTATTATAAGCTGTGTACCTTATGTTTTTCACTATTATGGACCCTCCGATTATTGTTAGTAGTGTCGGTCACTGTTAACATCACACATGTATGTCGGCCGGCTTATCACGGACAAATGTGTTTCTACACCTGAGTGTTATAATCAACATAAACACTTCTCTAGTTAGTCAAATAATATTCAACATCTATTATACTAATTCTCACAAAGTCTGCCAATCCCAATCACGACTCATTTTATGAAACAGATGCAACATTATGGCATCAAGTAAGAATGATTCCTGAAGATATCAGTAACGATGCGTAGTTATTGGACCTCTCAAAACTTCTAATGGAGTTGAATATTTTGTTTTGTCCCTTGTGTCAGGATCAGTCTAGTAAACTCCCTAGTTTACATTGGTGTATTCTGGCATGGTATCCGGCATAGTCTAACTTGCATGTGATTACATTGTTATCGTAATTGAGTTCTGCTATCAGTAAAGAAGGATTTACCTCGATCTGAAATAAAAAGACACCAATATAACATAGCGCAAAGACATGATCTCTAAACTAAATACGCTTAAAAATCTTACTTTGACCTGCTTCATACACTTAAATTATGGTCAATGCTACACTTAAATTGATTGCGACACACAAACGACATAAGGATGATTGTTGTTCTGGTGTATTAGATTGGATTGTCATCATTCTGTTTGGTTACATGCCATTTCTGAAACGTTACTTTAACTTATGATTCATTATAGCCATTAGTGCCAATCAAAGTATTTAAGATATTCAGGAAATTTGTACTTATAGATTTGTAATCTAGATCATGAATTCTCGCAAGAAACATTTATATTGTTTATTTATACACATCGTGAGTTTCGGTTTTCTTTTAAACCAAGAGATGGATATCATTTTCCAATGTAACAGGACTGACGACAATCTATAGTATCCACAGGGAGGTTAATGTGTTTCTAGCATGACGATATGTCTATAATCGCTGTAGATCTGTGATATTTAAAAGATACTATCTTTATTGCCCGAGAGGTTTTTTTTGACAGAAAACGATTTGCATACTTTTGTAAAAGCGTGAATTCTTGTCTGTGAAATTATTCTATTATGCAGGTAAGAAAGAAAATGTAAAATTAGGTAATGATTACAGCTTTAAAGACAGAAAAGTTGAATCAAGATGGAACCTTTGTTATGCCTTATATAAGGGCTGTGACTATCCTGTTTACCTTAAATACATATTCCCCAGTCTTCAGATCCGTTATATCTATCCACTGGCAGTCTATATCCGCCATGTAGTTATCAGAACAACCGACAGAAATACCTGTAAACATATATAGATATCAACTACATTTACAGAAAAAACAATAAATAGTTATATCACTGATGTTGTCTTTCAAATTCGGATTTAACTACAACAGCATATTAAACAATTACAGTGAAACGTTCCTCATGTAATGTATGGAACTTGTGACAATTTGACATTTCAATGGTTTCGTTGCAATCGAAATGAAATCTTATTTTACAGAATTTCTGCAAATGTACATTTATTGGCGCATTTAAATTTTAGCGCATTTTCGATTTTGTACAAATCAGCGCAATAATGAATTCGCTCTTTCGCAAAAATTGCTCTAATGCAATGATGTTTTAGTGCAATATCGTATCGCGAAAACTGCGAAGATTACCGCCAAACATTTACGTTCACAGTATCAATCGTGAAACCATAATGACCAATCGACAAATCCATTTTGTAATGATAAAAAATGACATCGATCTTTCTACTGTTATTGTATGTTACAATGTTTAATCATACGTGATTCAAAGAGGAATACAGATATTTCATTACCCTGCTGGCCGTAGTTTTGACACCTGTACTTTGGTCGAACCCCACGACCACATTCGGAGTCTTCGAGACAAAAGCTGGCCTTCAGACCCTCGGCCATAAGGTTACCGTTATGGTCCGTGATATCGTAGTGGGCGAATACCTCCATACTATGGTAGTGCCTGTCAAAAATCAGATGTGTTTGATATTTACTAAATATGAAAATTGAACACTAGATAACTTCTTTTTAAAAACAAGACAGGGGTGTTACAAGCAGTTAACACGGGAGTGAAAGAAAAAAGCATGCCTGAATGAACACGTGATCTGTTTTTATTATATCACATTCATCTCGTGACACGCACCTTGATCCGTTATTGATAGGTGCTCAATAGACAATGATTGACATTCTTATTCTTAAACGCGATCATTAAGGAAGGTCCTATCAAACCTGTTAAATTGATCCACATCGAACAAATCGTTAAGACGAAAACCAATCTACCCGTGGAAGATCAGGTTGAATATTGATACATGAGGTATTTACCAAACACGATGTTTTACAATGCGAAACATTGTCACATTTTCTATTATGTCCGAATCCCACGTGGATTTCACAATAGAAAATTCTCGCCTGCCACATATCATAATTGGTATTTGAATATGGTGACTTTAACATGAGACGATATGGCATATTCTGCAAATCATAATTATTATGTACTTAGTATATTGTATTGTTCTTTCTGATATCGATATTAACGTGCTTCGTTGTGACCTTACGTATATTCCCATTGATGTAGTATATGACAGAACCATCGATTATTGACCTTAATCCTAGATATTTGTTAGCGTGGTCTACATCCAAGAACGGGGCATATCAAAGCATAGATCACTTCCTCAAATCCATCGAATTCAATTTTCTTCTTATTATGATTTCTTCAATTTTGCAAATTCATGGAATTAAGGGTCAATATATTACTCATCGAAATTTTGATTGAACTTCCATAACTGGCCTGTTATCCAGGCCTGTCAGTCTTTGCCGGAAACAATAACAAGTGATCCACTAGAAATATATGTAAAGAACAGTCGAGCAATTATGACGTCAAAATAGAAGACATGCAATTTACCGATATTTTTACTTGTACATGTAAGTCTCACGTGCCTCTTTATAGCATGATTTATTATTGATAACATATACGTCAACTCATCCCTGATGTTAATGTTGTGTAATTTCAGCACATTTAACAGACGTCATTTTCTCTCATCTCAGTTTCAAGTGTGTCTTATATTTAAGGCATACACCACTTCCGCCTGTGATTCATGGAAGCGTAAAATGATATTTTACTTACTGATGACATGCGTGCCATTCCCATTCATGGCGTCTCTTGGTCGGATTGAAGTCAGCCGTTCCGCGATTGCTTACAACACTGGAAAATCTCAAGAGTCGTCTCGAACTTCTTCGCCATCCTATCAAACATAATGAAATACGGTGATTGTGCAACTATATTGAACTTATTTCAAACATTGATGAGTAAAAATGTGTGCAAACTAATTTCTTTGAAATCACAGGAAAAACAAATTATTTAGATCTTTAAATATCAAAGGCATTACGTACTCACGGAAATAAAAAGTTACTAGTAGTCTATAATTGTAAATATCCAGACAAACATGAAACCTACCATACGGATTATTTCTTTGTAAAGCGTAAGCGGAGGAAGATAAACACTGTTCCTCCATTGCGCATGTCAAATAAAAAAGTGCTCTATCCTGCAGGAATGCAGTAGTCTCCAACATATATGTACTCGGCTCAAGATCAGGTAATTCTACAATAGTTGAAAGAAACAAACATTTTATAATTATTATTTATTATTATTTATCTATACTGTAAATAAACTGAACGTTTCACTGTTGACGACATTATTACATATGTATTAAATCATTGCCTGCAATAAATATATTATATGGAATAAAACTAAAAACATAAAAACCATACTGTTTTAATATGTTTTCTAGTCGTTTAATCAATTGCAGCACCTGTTTCATACTCTGTGTGTGGCAAGGCTTCATACAACAATATACTAACACGTAGATTTGGCAAATTAACAACAGTGTTAAGTTGGCAGTGAATAACATCAACCGGAACCTTTCCAATAAAGCAATATTATAAGTAATGAACAAGAGAAAATTATAATGTGTCTTTTTAGTGCTTAACATACTATATTCCAGCCTTTATTTCACAAACGTTCCCATTTAATTGCCTGCAATATCAATCTGTAAATTTTACGACCTGTGATAGGCGATAATCGAGCCCAGATGTTCCCGATTACTGTGGAGGTCAATATAAAACCTTCTGGTTTCGGAACACTGCAGAAATCTGATATTTCCTTTTAAATGAACTGCATACAGACCCTTTTGTAAGCTAAATGCAATTTCAGCTTTACCTCAGTGCAAACTAATATAACAACTACGCTCGTTCGCTGTTCATTTCATTTATAATATACATGATTGTCAAAATTTTGTAAAAGCGACAGAAGTAGCTCACATTGCTCAAGGTCCATAGTATGAAATATACTGTTTAAGTCAAAAGTGACTGATCCTGGTGACCTTAGGTTATATTAAGGTTTTATGTTTCATCTGTATTCCTATTATGGCATTTCTTATCTTGATCGAAGTATTCTTTATTAGTTTTTCATGTATCATTTTTTACATAAATATGCTAATGTAAAGTAAATATGTAAAGGTATTTCATTCAGAAAGAAAAATTATGCTATTATCGAGACTGAATATTCTCTTGAGAAATTTCAAAAATCAAAATAAAATTTAAATCAGTATTAAACTGCATGAAAGATAAGATTATATATAACATTAAATACTTTTGTGTCAGTAAATTTATCAGGGTAGGCTATTTTGTATACTATTCTGTTCTAGCAATCATATTTGTATGATAATTTAAGTTTAGAATTTTGATACATTTAAACAGTTCGATATTGAAATTTTGTTCGATGTACCTTACACCTTCCTGGTATCCAGAACGGTGGAAAGGTTTGATACCTGATAAAGATTAATGACAACGTTTTATACAATTCTCTTGTCGACTTGGTAATGAGTTTGTACATGAATATATGTTTTAAGCTCAATTGTATCGATTGATGTAATTGTCTTTTTAAGCACATTATAGTACCTTACAAGTGACAACTTATGATCACTGGTTATGAGAATTAACTTCCTTACATAACATAGTAAAGGAAAACATTAACGTGAGGTTTTTATGCTCACCTTTTGCGCACACGATCCCTGCTACAGAGTCGGCCCTCCTACACCTCATGCCTCCTCCCTCATGTTCCATCCACTGGCATTCATTCAAGTTCTCCTCCTTTCCTGTGCATCTCACAGAGTAGAAATATTTATTCAAATTTCTTCCTCCGAACACAGAAGTCTGATTAAAATAGAACAAATATCTTTGAATTTTCATCATTTCATTCCAATTACATCAGCTAAGCATACCTTTTTCAATAGCAAGATACGAATCAAAAATGTTTCAGCATATCGAAAGGGACTTAAGATACCCTGACTCAGTTTTCATGTATTTGAAAATATGGGTATATCAAAGAGATAATTTTTGCAGATAAAAATACGCATAATGTAACATATATAGAATTTACGATTTTGACATATGTGTAGTATAATTTGAATTTGGGTTCTATTTGAAGTGCCTTGTAAATAACTGGGTGTGATTTTATCGATGAAGATTCATATTTCACAAAAAGAAATGTGTATGGTTTCCCTAAGATCGAGTGAATGCGGAGTCACAAATAACTGTATAAATATCAATAAGCATTTTTCAAAGTATATAACAATATTGTTTTTCTTTTCTAAAAAGAAACACAAAGATGTAAAAAAAATTCAACATTGTGAGTCAGATGAATACAGGTCATTTAAATGTTAAAGCGAAATAATAAAAAAAGACCAAAGAGAAGCTGGACCAATGCTGTCGGTCTTTTAGATAAGGTTTAAAAAGAAGTCATCCTTCTTAAAACTACCAAGTAAAGAACAAGAGACTGACGATCACCAATGCAAAAGACATTATTCATTCAAACTGGGTCGTCTAGGATCAAAGACAAGAGTTCTACTGATCCAGCTCATCACCAGTACATGTCATGCCCTCTGACGAGAAGTACTCGTACATGTATTTTAACTGTTGGTGTAATTACTTAAGCAAATCTACTTTATTAGAGGATTGTGAAGTGCTTTATCACACGACTGTCTGACATAAGAGTTCAGAGCTAAATGCACTGTTTAGCATGTCTGGTTATTTCGATGACCTTGTCAGTGTTTAAATCAGAAATTTTAATAAATTTGTCATGTTCCTGTCTATAAACAATGAATTTAAGATAAGAACACTACCCGAACATGATCATGCTTATTTTGATATGTTAGCGCGATGATCTCGTATCAGTCCAAAGGCTTCTAAAGAGTGTGATATCAAAATAGTTATATCACGATCTTTTTATCACACATTTTGGTGACGTCACAATTGAACTGATTACCTGATATCAAACCCAAGCGGATAAAGAAATAATACATGTTTAAATTCGCCTGAGAATATGATAAATTCATTTAAGTAAAATCTTTGTCCAAAAATAATATAATCAAAAGATGTAAGGAAATAAAAACAAAAATGACAGTATACAAAAGGAAATATTTCATGTACCTCTCTATGATATTAACATACTGTCTAACCAAGGTCGTGAAAGCTAATTATATTTTACTATCTGAAGTATAATTGATAGGTACGTTAGGAAAACAGGTACAACCAACTGTTAGAAAGCGTTTAGCTTATAAATTAGTCTTTATATCTATTATGTGAAAAGTAGGCAATATATTTATATATTGTATTGATAGGCCATTCCACATAGATAATTAACCACGTTGGTCTACAACTGACTCACAGAAGGTTTGTAAAATCGGTATCATTTTGATAAACCGAGGTCATTATACAAATATTTAGAATGCGTCATCAATTAGTCATTATAACGTACACCTGAACAGAACTATTTATGATCACAAGAACAAGTTTTCCCTCTTGAAGAGTTACTCTTTGGCACATCTGAAGTGCCAGTTTTGCTTTGTAATTTTAGACAACTTAGAGTAAAATGTCCTGTAGGCAAGATACATGTACGGTCAATTACGGAAGTATGAGTCAAATGGTTATTGATAATAATGACACTATAGAAAAAGAAACAAACATATGATCATGTCAACGCAAAGTTGACGTCAATAGCAAAGAGATAAATATAAATTTTGAGTTTACAGTCAAGTCATCATCATGGATCTAGTTGAAAGAAAGAAAGAAACAAATAAATAAATAAAACGAAGTGAACCATGGGAAACTAGGAAATAGGATCAATAAGAGGAAAGTAAACTTGAAAAAAGCAAAACGTCGTTGGGAGGGAAGAGTTGATGAGGAGAAAAAAAGAAGCTTAAACAACGGGCGACAAAGTGGCATCAATGATGAGAAAACAGCGCGAGCAAGATAAAAAAATTATCTTAAAAAACATGATTAGGAACCGAGAAGGCATAAAGGAAACGACAAATAACATCAGAAACACCATATTGAAAGGAAGACCAAGCCTTCTTCAAAAGGTCAAAAGAAAAGAGATATAAAGGAAAGGCGGCAGTAGTGTACAAGTATTCTGGAGGGTAAAGTAATTTCTCTAACACTACAAGTCGCACCTGTCATGGCGTCTATTACGATCGCAATCTGTATGTTTATATACATATCGAAATACATTAAGTTTTTGCGTGATAAGATAAAATCTTGTGCAAGCTGCAGACAAGTAGTTGAGCTCTAATTAACAATGATATTATTGTGTTTTGATTTCTACCTTAACGAGAATTTCTGTGAACGTCTGTAATTATATTTTTGCATAAAGATTCAAAATGGCATTTAAGGTTTGTTGGTATTTGCTAATACATGGGCTTTCCGTTTCTAACTTTAGTTGGTGAATTCGGTTTTGAGATGGAGGGTTCTGTTGGAATGGTCAATGAACGAAAAAGAAAATACAGTCTTCACTACAGGAACAGAAAAACTGAGACTTTTTTGTGTCTCAATGGATGTCCAAAAGAGACATTTCAGATAGAAAAGTACATTAACGTCATTACAGTGTCCAGTTGGATTTTCAGTGGATCTGTATTTACCTGGCATCCTAGTAAAAGTACATCAAAAGTACATCAAAATAAGAATAGATGATAGTGACGACAAAATTAGTAACAGTGACTGAAAACTTACTGTTGTGTTTTGTTGTGCGAATCCTATCCCGAGATGTTTACACGTAACAATAGCTTCCTTAAATGTCCATTGGTCACCACAAATGACCCCGTACTCTGTCTGTCCATTGGGTAACACCTCCAGTCTTCCATCTGTTCCTCGTCGTCCTCCAGCTAAACGCACCAGGATTTTCTACAATCAAATTTTTAGTAGTAATGAAAAAGACGAAATGAGAAAAATACTCTTATTTTATTATAAGAGTCCTTTATCAGGCTATCCTTCTTGCGAATCGTCCTCTTGGTACATTTTTAAATGTATCAAAGGGCAACCTAATTATTCAAGCAACACTTATAAGATCGATACAAATGCTTCCGACAAAAATATTAAGGATGTAAATGAAAGTTATCCAGGTTTCTCATATCAAATGATCTGTTGATATTCAAGATTTGACATAAGATGTTTGTAATATATACTTTTGGTTATATGTCTATGAATCAAATGGTTATCGCGAGATCGCTCCACATTTTAACAGCTGCCAGTGACAACCACGAAAACACAGAAAACGTAAAGGACCATTTCACGTATCTAGTGAAATATAAGAAAGCATATTCCTATATCAGATGCCAGTGATAGGACTGGTTTATTATGTGCAAAATAAACATTCATCCGTGCGCCCCACGTCCATTTGAAGCCATTCGTCCGGATAAAAAACTGAGGCGTCAGATTGAGATATATATGTGGTCTTAATGGTTTGCTTGAGTGCATAATGAAATTATGAGTAATGTTAGTGTTAAATAACAAACTTACAAAGATATCCAGCGAGTGTAACGAAAATGGAGGTAAGATGTTCCCACAGTAATTGTCAAATATGTGCACAAACTGCAATTGAGTCTTGTAAAAAGGAGAAATTAACGAGTGAGATAGCCTAAATATAGTTATGTTCTAAATAAAAACAACGCTATTGTCAATCATTTCGGTGTATGAATTTCACCATCTAAACACAAAAGGTAAAAAGTAATTCAGGGTCAAAACCCCTCTTCTCGTAACAAGATATCATATATCTACACAAAAGATGGATGGCGTAGGGACGGTGAGGTAGGACGCTATAAGTCTAACCACGGTCACCGCGATCTTATCATGTATCCAGTAAACAATGGGCAGTAAGAGGAGAGTCCAGCACCTGATACTGGGCTTCAGACAACTCATTTGATAACATTATATCTAACGACAACACAGCCATAATCTCACCAATAACAGACTCTTATTACAAACTGTAGACGGCTTGAAAGCGATAGCGTTTTAATTGTTGAAAGAAGTTTGATTCAATTATATTTGTCTTAAATAATATGACATTTGTCCGCAATGGTTTAGTGCGATCCTTGTCAACATGCATGCTTTTGTTGTGGTCACATGATACGGGCTGCCTCTGCTGAATCTGCTGTTAGTGGATATCTGTAGCATGATTAGTATATACATGTACTAGTGGTCAGAGTACTCATAATCGTTCCCACAAAAGCACCGTCATATAAAATTAATATTCCCTATATAAACGAGTGTGGGTGGTCAAACGTGAGCATTGTGTGTGTCTTAAATCGTGTATTCACATCATGTAATACCCAGACGAACTCTTAATCTCAACTATATCTATACTCACAATATATTCATATAATTAGTCACAGCTCTACCACGGAGTCTGAAGGTTCATAGCGTTCTCAAATAACATTCAAGCAATGATATTCTCAAAACATTTCGCATTGTTTATTTTTGAAGATTCGCTTTTGATCAGATTTTATGTAGTTAATGTGCCTAGATAACACATAGCATTGCCTAAAATAAGATAATGTTGTCTGTTGCTACAGATAGCAAAGCACTAGATTCTTAATTGGAAAAGGTATAACTTGGTATTTACAAACAAATCAAACGACAACCACAAAATTATAGTTTTATAGCTTTTTGCTATTACGTGCATTCACAATTACTATCTTTCAGTTGAAGTACTTTGTAGCCTATCCACAGAAGGACAATTTGCTAGTCGTTAACACTACAGCACATATATACTCACGTTTGCAGGAGTTCTGTGCCTGCCGTGGTGATGCCTGTGTCTATGGCCACTACTTCCGTTCCTATACCGTTCCATACCATTAGGGTATATCCGGTTGTCGTCCGTCAAATTGTTTCTTGAGTCTTGTCTTTGTGATTCGCTAACTCGTTGGCGTGTCGCACCTCCATACCCCGTATTTGAATTTGATTCCACGCTGTTGATACCATTGAAGCTAGGAGCTTGTGTAACTGCGGTATCTGCCTTCATTTCATCTTCCCTTGATGGTGTTGATGTCGTTGTAGTTGTTGTCGTGGTTGTTGTGGTGGAAGGAGCTGGTATCGCCTCGCCAAATACTGCTTTGCGCATTGCAATATATTGAGCTAAAGTTTTCCGTTCTGCTCTTGTTCCTGGTTTAGCTACCAAGATTTTGCCGTTACTAAGCTTCAACACCCATCGCTTTAGGACCCTGTCCATGGTCCATCTATTGACCGTAAGATTCGGTCTCGTTGCCTCTTCCCTAGATGCTAAATTGTCAATAGCAGCTCGTCGTGTTGTCGGTCTAGGTAATGCTGAAGTCGGCTTAGGTGTTGTTGTTGGTTTAGGCGTCGTGGTTGTTGTCGGCCTTGGGGTCGTTGTTGTTGCTGTTGTTGGCTTAGGTGTAGGAGGTTTTGGTGTTGCGTCATGGATTACAGGCACGATGGAATTATCAAGAACATTGCTGATCACAGTATCGATGGAATTAGCATTCGTGTTTTCAATAGAATTGCTGACAGCTTGCACTTGAATCTCGTTGTTGTCAGCCGCTGGGGTAGGTGCAATAGGCCTTGGCGTTGCTGTCACTGGTTTAGGTGTTGTCGGAGGCGGGCTAGGTTTGACTGTAATTGGTTCTGGTGTAGTCGGTTTTGGTGTTGTGGTAGTTGTAGTTGTTGGTTTTGGTGTTGTGGTAGTTGTAGTCGTTGGTTTTGGTGTTGTGGTTGTTGTAGTTGTTGGTTTTGGTGTTGTGGTTGTTGTAGTTGTTGGTTTTGGTGTTGTGGTAGTTGTAGTCGTTGGTTTTGGTGTTGTGGTAGTTGTAGTTGTTGGTTTTGGTGTTGTGGTTGTTGTGGTTGTTGGTTGCGGTGTAGTGGTAGTAGTTGTAGTTGTTGGTTTTGATGTTGTGGTAGTTGTGGTTGTTGGTTTTGGTGTTGTGGTTGGCTTTGGTGTTGTAGTTGTTAGTTGCGGTGTAGTGGTAGTAGTTGGTGTGGTGGTAGTTGGTCTAGCAGTTGGAGCGTGAGTAGCGGATATGATAATCCTATCGTGGGAAATCTCGTTATCAATCCCATGCACAATATGATGATTCTGATCCCTATCGGAAATTGAAGAACCAGGATTGATATCAGGGAGAATGACGTAGCCAGTATCCCGGCCGTCCATGAGTGCAGCAGGACCAGTATCGACGGCGCTTCGGGATGGCTTCGGAGTGGTGGTTGTGGTTGTAAGCCTAGTAGTGGTTGGTTTTGGAGTTGTTACCTTTGTAGTGGTAGAGGTAGTCGTGGTAATATGGTCTCGACATTTTACTCCAGCAGACGTGTATCGGCCCGCGCAGAACCTGTGCCTTGTACCCCGTCCATACCCAGGATACCTACACTGCGTAAGGTGGATCTCGTTTCCCCGACAGTGCATATACGACATCCACTTAAAACCTGAAACAGAGACAAAGAGCTGTGTGATATCAGTATATTGAGGAAATATATTTGATAGACTCATATAGGATATCTTTCTCAGAAACATCATCTTGTCAAAATATTTCTTATTGATTGCTATTTTTCATACCGTATATCAAGACTACCGAGGTCATATTGATGTTTCGGTTGACCTCGAGAATCTGGTAATACCATACAGTATAATTTTCCTTCTTCATCACATTGTATTACGATTTGGATAAAAAAAAGAAACAACACTTAAATTTTGTCACTCGGTCAAATCTGGACACAATTTTATACTATTGCTAAATATACGCGGAATATTTTGATATAGAATTCATACTTCAGACACATTTATTCCATATTGTACGATATTAATGTCCCAGATAATTTAAACTGTTCGATAATTTGTACCACTGGCAAGGATATTGATATTTTCGGTTTAGAAATATCTAATTTCATTCCCCTATTGATCGCCCCCATTTTATGTTTTCAGTAACACGTGGTTGTTTATGATCACCAATAGGTAAGATATTGGCTTACTGTAGAAAGTAGTTCTCATCACCCTAACATTACTATTTTCTTCATGTGGGTGCTATCACAGGGAGGATGGGATAGGTGGGGTTACTGTGCGTGACTTAGAACAAGAAACTAAGAACTGGTACAAAAGTCTGTTTAGCAAAGCTTACTGAGCACAATAATTTCCTCAATAAAGATTGCTTAAAAGCTTTGTCAGTCGGTATAATGTAGATGTCATCTTTTCCGAGATATTCTGACAGGGTGACAGTCCGGAAAGGCAGACGGTCAACATTGTCATAATCAGAGAGAACTGTCAATGGAGGCATGAATGTCGAAATCAGGATGACACTCAGGTAGCCATATAATGTGACAGAGTCGGTATTGAAAGATAGGCAGCCGTCAAAAGACAATTGAAAATATCAAATTACATTGTTTTACCGCTGATAAGTGGTAAATATTCCTGTTAGGTTTCTGTTTGAATACAAATTTAGTGATATTTTATCAAAAATCTATAATTATACAGATTAAATATAACTAATTTTTTTTAATGCCAACGGATTTCGTAAGAACGATAGTTGTGAAAGTATACAATGAGTCAACAGTACGATGTCAATATAAGGAACATTCAAGTGCTGGACATTAATATATTTTACAGCTTTAGATACACATCAATTTGTACTGCTATATTGTTAACACAACATGAATGAGGGTTTATGATTGGTTACGACTATAATCCCACCTATCTTTCATTTGATTGGAGAGCTAAATAATGACTGATAGGGCAGTTTATAGCAGGGCTGAAGTATGACTGGTATGTGCTGGAGTGCTTTGTAACCTGTGTTAGTACTAAGCTCCATTAGTCACAATCGTACCACATCAATGCCAAACTTCCATTTCATCGCACCACATTTAGCAAATGATGATTGAGTTGATAAATTAAATCTACATTGCATTTATATCGTGAATCAAATCGCGTTCGAAACTCCAGTTAGCTAATTTGTGTAAGGTGAACTTGGTTAAGCGTATTGCTAATTATCTGGCTGACTTATTTGATGATGTATGATATTATAGTTATATGATAAATAATTGATTTCACAAGCATATTATCTTACATTGATACCAAAACCTACAGCAGGATGCATATACGATTTCAAATAATGGTCATTTAATTTAATTCGAAACGTTCACATATTAAAAGCATAATACATCTTCAAAAAGCTTTATTCTTTAAGAGATTAATGACCGAAGTGCTTAATAATATGTGTTTTAAATTATGATTTAGATAGAATTACACAGCACTAAACGTGATGTTAGTTATGGATGACTAAAGATGAATACCATGAGAATACCAGTTTTCTAGAACTCTATCTTAATGGCCCACATTCTGCAGATATTGTACGACATGGAAACAAATAAATGTTGATAAATATATAAGTAATTATTGTAACAATTGAATAGAATTACATTACAAACCTGTCGATTAATGATCATATACATTAATTGATAATAACAAACGATCAATATACATGCTATGAGATGTATTTCTTTCTGATATGAAATTGCATCATACATTACTTATCATTACACACTAGAAATGTAGTAGACTGTATATGAAAATACCGTATTCATTATTCAAATAAAAAAAACCAAGACTTATCTTCAAGGTTTTTTTCGGTCCATTTACCTGTAAGAGCAAATATCATTTTTCTACTGCATTTTTCGGATCAACATTAACAGCTAGATAAAACTAATTCGCTATCGTGACACGATTTGTGTAGCGCTGATAATAATCACTGACGAGCGTATACAACAGACGCCAATTATTGCTGATATTAACATTGACAGGGTTTAATTATGACATAACATATGTCTTTTCAGTGAACAATATCCGATGTTCCACTCTTGATTGTGAGATAATGATGTGTTTTATTCAAACCATATCCTAATTGTTTTCATTTACTGTATTGCAGAAGGTTCTATTTAAACATAAGATTCGTGTTTGCACAAATTACGGTCTCCAGATGTCCATCAGAAATGCACACACTTGTGAGATATCAATTAGCTGCTCTGCTGGTAGGTACTTAGGTTCTTTGATCAAACAGGTGCCCCTTGTAACACTTTCGTGTAGCTCATTACAAATAGAAGGAAATCCACCCTTATTTGACAGCACATTCTTTGATTGTCAATTGAGCATACTCAGATAAATTAACAGGAAGTGGATGTTACATACCAAGGGGTTACGATTGTAGCGATAGCCAACCACATGGCCATATACATGGTCGATATCTAGCGTCAGAATACAAGTACTGGTGGTAAGGGTATTCACCATTACTCTCAAATACTGTTAAACTGTCAGAAAATCAATATCTGATTCAAGTGACTTTTTGTATCGATACTTACACTTGTTCGACCATTGACAGAATGTTCAATTCTTACGGATTCTAATGCATGCAGAACATATTTTGTGTATCTGTATTTAAATATGTTTTACAGTTTAAGGAGACAGAAACACTTACGTAGAGTAATACATTTTATTATATAAACGGATTCAAACAAATTTCATGTACAATACTTCTGTCCATCCTTACGAACAAATACGTATTCACTTACGAGGTAAAGAATGTGTATCCTGTATGGTGATAGACGCTATAAGAAACGTACCGAAATCTAATAAGGTAAATTTGCACCATTGAATAACATTCCATTCTGATACTATGTAGACGAAAGATTTATTTTGACACTTATATTCGTTCAAATACATTTACGATCTCCAGACATGCATTTGTTCATTGTTTGTCGTCTATGTAGCAGGTAAGGTGAGCATGGAGATTAAGGGGGGATTACGTCAGTACATTAAGTGTGGATAAGGTTATAAGTTATACATATGCCAGAAGTTGCATAGGGCGGGAAATTGTGTTGTGTTTCTTCAACCTGGTAGAGAAAACCTTCGACTCTACCCAACCGGTCGTTAGTGACCTCTCCATTATGACACAGTAGGACCTTACCACTGATGTATTGCCATGGTACCCTTAAACTAAAGGGTTAATCGGATATAAATGTATTAAAGGGGAAAGCAGCAATGCTCTGATGAGATGCGACACGAGAACTGTTTATATGTACATTGTCACCAAATTAAGTCGTATCAACTGGCGATTAAGTTTTGAACAATGATATATTTTATCAGTATACCGGCATGCAAAACTGTCTAAGATTACGGAATGATATGGACATAATCAAAATGTGATGAACTGCGTGACCAGATCCCTTCTTTGTGCCCTTGTGAGAGGAAGTGTATTTGTATGTAGTATGTTACTATCCTATACGTGATAATGTACACAAAACCATTAAAACCCAACATTCCGAAATATATGTTAAGTCGCACGTTAGTTTCTGATTTATCTTTGGTTCAATAGAATCACACTAATGAATTAAAAAGGACCGATTTGCTTCACAAATCAGAACTAATTTGTCTCTACTTAAACTAACTGGTTTTCTAATCGCTGAATTACACCCATATAAGCACCGAGATATTAGATCTGATTCTCAACATCAATCACATAGAAACTACGCTATGCCTTCAAACTGTACCACGGCTTTGAGACCTGGCCACCTAAATGGATTCCTTCAAACGTAAATGAATGCTCATTGGTCTAACATGGGCTTCAAAGGGCTAGGGTCAACCTGATGTCAACCCTACCAATTTACACCTTTAGAGGAAATTAAGGAGCTGAAAGGTATTGTGATTAGCTACTTGTGCGAGTGGCTACAAATCTTTGTCGCACGCATCATTGACAACAAATCACTTGGCAACATGAAAATAAACTACTGATGGGCCGTAAAATAAACGTCTCGAATACCTGCCGAATACTTTAGATTGTCAAAAGAAGCCTTTTGTTGCACAAACACAAATCAAACACGAGATGATTAAATCAAATGTGTTTTTTCTTACTTTGAAATAAAACAACAAATGTTTCATGTAAAAGGGCATTAAAACGTTAATTGTTTCTACAATTACTTTGAAAGTATCACGTATTTCTTGCTAATGTTTGCGGTTGTTTGTGTCTAGACTCTGGGTGTTGACATATTCCTTTTCTCTGTATTAGGACATACAGGATAAATTTATTTCGCTGACACACAAATCACGTAACCACTGTCCGACAAATAAGAGCTACATATACAAATAAGAATACTATCATGACTTATTTGTCATAGTTTGTTATTTTCCTAGATTTGACAATAAGTAACAAGTCGCCATTCCTTTACTACTGAAGTAAGCGATGTCATATAGTTTACATGTACTTATATCCATTATGAATTATGCATTCGGTTATTCAACTTCGACAGAATATGAAATATCGAATAATTAAAATGGACAGTAGTTACTTTTGATTGTGTTGAATTGTTTTGATTTAGTGAAAAGAAATCGTTTACATCATTACAAGTGAACATGGTGTAGGTTGCAAAACAGATATCACTTCATG